CAGAAGATGATGCAAAGTCTGTAATGATACAAATACTGAAAGTTGTTGCATTTTGCCATCTTCAAGGTGTGGTGCACCGGGATCTCAAACCAGAGGTAAGAGGAGCAAAATGCTCAATCTGTGATTACTTAGAGAGTACAACATCTTAGCATATCTAGTCATTTCACCTGTTGTAAAAGAAGAAGGAAAAAAGAAAACCTTTTTACTTTAATGGATCTTAAATAATGTTATTATTCCAGTAGAACAACTTTTCAGTCAGTTTCAAATTGCTTAGGTTTTTTATTCATCAGGTGAAGTTAATGTTTGTTTCATCTAGTATTAGAGTAACGGATCTGTTGAGCTAACAAGTAACAGAGAAGCTCAAAATATCAGCTGTGGCGTTTTGCTATGGTTAATAGTATAACTTGTTAGAGAAGATGTGCTATCTGCTTCTGTAAGCCTTCTATCATACTCTTTCTTATCTAACTCAAACTTTCTGATTGACCAGAACTTCTTATTCACGTCTAAGGATGAAAACGCACAACTTAAAGCAATAGACTTTGGATTGTCTGATTTTGTGAAGCCAGGTTAGTCCATTACTGTGTCTGTAGAACCACCCCTCCCCTCACCCCCCACCCCTCAAAAAAGAAGAAAGAGTTAAACAACTACCCTGCATAGATTTGAGTAGCTCCGTCAACCTGTTGTTTACTTTCCATGCTGGATTGCCTTGCAGATGAAAGACTTAATGATATTGTCGGTAGTGCATATTATGTAGCACCGGAGGTTCTACACAGATCTTACAGTACAGAGGCTGATGTGTGGAGTATAGGTGTCATAGCATATATCCTGTTGTGTGGAAGCCGTCCTTTTTGGGCTCGAACAGAATCTGGGATATTTAGAGCTGTCCTAAAAGCTGATCCAAGTTTTGACGAACAGCCTTGGCCTACATTATCTTCTGAGGCAAAAGACTTTGTGAAACGTCTGTTGAATAAAGATCCCCGGAAAAGAATGACCGCAGCTCAGGCTTTGGGTGAGTTTCTTGAGTCAAGTTGGAAAAGGAGAATTCTCGTTCTTTAAATTTCTTCAAACTGCTTAACAACTCACTCTCTCAGGTCACCCATGGATAAAGAATAGTCACAACATAGAGGTGCCTTTGGATATTTTGATATTCAAACTAATGAAGGCTTACATGAGGTCCTCTGCTCTTAGAAAAGCTGCGCTACGGGTGTGTATGATGCTACTGAGAAAAGTTCTCCGGTTCCCATTTTTATCTTCGGACTTGTTGAAGTTTGTTTAATAGCTCAATCTTCACCTACTTTTGCAGGCTTTATCAAAGACATTGACTGTAGATGAGCTATATTATCTGAAGGAGCAGTTTGCACTGCTGGGACCAAACAAAAATGGCACCATAAGCTTCGATAACGTTAAAACGGTTTGTATTTTTACGAAAAATGAATGCTATAATTGTTTCTAGTATTTCGCAAGTTGTTGCTGACCTTCTGTGTTCTTATCAGGCCCTGATGACACATGCAACAGATGCTATGAAGGAAGCTCGCATGCATGATTTTCTTGCATCGGTAGATTTTGAAATCCATTGACTTCAGATTCTGACTGATATTGACTTGCTCTGGGTTTAACCTATGATGCTTAACTCTCCTTTTCCTTCTCATGGCAGCTTAATGCACTGCAATACAGGAGGATGGATTTTGAGGAATTCTGTGCTGCTGCATTAAGTGTTCATCAGCTTGAGGCTCTTGACCGATGGGAACAACATGCACGTTGTGCCTATGAAATTTTTGAGAAGGAAGGCAATAGGGCTATTATGATAGAAGAATTAGCTTCGGTAATTATGATCGTTCATTTCTGTTCTGAATACTGTTTGCCACATCTTTGTCTCTTACGTAACAATCTGTCTTTTTATCTTTTCGGAGGAGGGAAGTGTACAAGTAATTGGTAAGGAATCTAACTGAACGTAATTTGAATCTGGCATTCCAGGAACTTGGTCTTAGCCCTTCTGTTCCAGTCCATGCTGTTCTACATGACTGGCTTAGGCATACTGACGGAAAGCTCAGTTTTCTTGGTTTTGCAAAGTTGTTGCATGGAGTGTCCAGCCGCTCAATTACAAAAGTTCAATGATTCAAGCCACCTAATCAGAAAATTTCAATGAGTTTTTTGGTTCAGTCATGTTCTCCTTCTGTTGCTGATGCCATTGTTGGCAAACAAATGCGCAGTGAAGAAATGATGAAGATCAACTTCTGTCCCTAGTGCTGGAGCTTCATAGACCTCAGTATTTAGGGCAAGTGTGAGATTCCACGGAACTATTTTCAAGGAGAGGATTAGAGTTTTGGCCATGTGTTATCAGAGCAATGGCACCCTGCATATAGAGTTCTTACTGTAAAGCTGTAGTTAATTACTGTTTGATTGCAGGTGAGAGCACCTCTCAGCTGGTTTGACAGTTTGCGGGCACACACAAGTTGTTGTAAGTTGTTGGACATCGCTAATGTCTACTATTTGCCTTGTATAATGTTGTCTACATCTCTTTCTTGTTGAGAAGTTCCACCACTTTCTTTTCTTGCTTCTCAACTAAATTGGAGAAAGGAAAGACATGCGGGGGAGCAAGGGAGTTAATTGTTGTTACAACAACAAACCTAATATAGTCCCACAAGGTTGGGTCTGGGGAGGGTAATGTGTACGCATACCTTACCTCTACCTGGAAGGTAGAGAGGCTATTTCCGATACATCTTCGGCTCAAGAAAAGATGAAAAGAAAGCAAGGGAGTTAATTGTTGTTAATTAGAAATAGCTGTAGCCTTAGAAATGCAACAATAGCTTGAATGATCTTATAAGCCATGGTATTGCACAATGGACTATTTTTCTTGATCAACTGTCTTCACAGTGATGATCAGAAGGAATTGGCCTTTAAAGTACAGACAATATTTACTTTTCCTCAATTTAAATGGTGGTTGACCAGCCAAAAGTTAGAAAAACAATTTTACCTGTCCCATTGTAATAAGTGGACAAGCATATTTATTACATATAGTTTTGGTAACTGACGTTACACGCAGTACATTGCGTGAAATATTGAAGCTTCTAACTGTTTTTAGTCTGTGGTATTTTAATTATATTAACTTGTCAAAAAATGTGTTAACGGAGTTCAGCAGAAGTATATTTACGATACTTATGTTGCACCCAAAAAAGAAAATATAGATACATACGACCAGCAGATGAAAAGTAGCACTCTTAATTAATATATTTTCTCTATGAAGTAGCAGAAGTAGCAAGAAGAACATATAACTTGGATAGGTAGTAGGTACATCATATTCTAATGAAAGTTGAACCTAGAACTTCTTGTCATACGATCTTAGCACCTCCGCCTCGACTACTAGATGAATGCTTCATTGAAAGTTGAAACTATAGCAACTTGATTTTGACAACAAAAAAACATATCAAATTTCAAAAAGATTTAACCTATTGAGATTAAATTGTCAAGGTTACTCTTTGTATGATTTGCTTTCTAACCATTTTGCATTATTTCACGTGAAATTAGCGATGAAAATTTAACTAAATTAGAACCCATCTCAACATTTATTTAAAATATAATTATCTTGATCTTATTAGTTTTCTTCTTAAAAAAATGAGAAAAGGTCCATATGTGCTCTTGAATTATACCATTATATACTCCTTCGGGTTCAAAAAGAGTGTGCATTTGCCTTTTTGGGGGGTTAAAGTAAGTGTCCACTTATCAAATTTCAAATCAAGAAAGAATTAAACAATATTTTTCAAAATTGCCCTTATTTGTATATCCTTAAAAGTCTTTTAAATTACTCTAAATTTCTATGTTAGGTGACCATTTTGAGAAGAAGTTTAAAGGTTTATCCTTCTTTACTGTTTCGGTAAGTGCGGTAAGTTGGAGCTCTTTTAACTACTCCTTTTATCGAGTCAAAAAGAAATAACGGAGTGTTCTTTTAATCAAATTCAAAGCAATATATTCCGGAGAAATTCAAAAATAGCCAGATTTACCACTGGTCGTTGAAAAATAGCCAAGTTTCAAAAGTCATCGAAATTTAGCCACTTTAAATCTGAGCGAAAACACTGTTCAAAATCCGGAAAAATACGCCCACAAATTTTACGGGAGTTCCAGCATAAGTATGCTTGAACTCCCGTAAATTTTACGGGAGTTCCAGGATAACTATGCTGGAACTCCCGCAAATTTTACGGGAGTTCAAGCATAATTATGCTGGAACTCCAGCAAATTTTACGGGAGTTCCAGCAAGTATAATTGTCCAGTATAATATACTGGAGTTTGGAGCACTGGTGCTCCAGTCTCCCGCAAATTTTACAGGAGTTAGCAAAGTATACCGGTCCAGCATAATATGCTGGAGTTCGTACACAAATGCACCAGAACTCCCGTATATTATACTGGACCGGTCCCTGTTGCAGCAAAATAATGGCTATTTTTCATTGACTTGATAAACGCTGGCTATTTTTCATTGACCAGTGTGAAAACTGGCTATACCATGATATTTTAACAATATATTCATACTAATTAATGTTAAGTGTTACTCCCTGTGTCTCATATTATGTGTCGTGTTTCTCTTTTACGCGCTCCTTAAAAAATACAATTAGGAAAGGGATGGGACTATTATATCCTTATTTATGTCATAAGATATCATTGAATATTTATTCTGTTTATGTCTTATCTCCATCTTTAAGTGTAATTATTACTAAGGGTAAAAAAGGAAAAAGATAACCAATTTTGTCTTGAACATCTAAAATGATATGAGACAACTATTTTTGGTAACCATCTAAAATAATTTGAGACAACTATTTTTGGTAACCATGACTGTTAATACGAGAAGGAGGGAGTAAGAGATAAGTCCAAGTGTGGCAAGTTAATAATATGAAAATTTTAATTAGGAATAATTTAGTCAAATTATCTAAATCGGGGTGAGTAATTTATATTTACCTTCAGCTGAATCAAATTTACCCTTGTCATTACAAACTAATGATAAGTAGCAGCTAGTGATGTTAAAAGTGGAAAAATCGATATACCATTTTATTAAGATCAAGGATTAATTTGACGGTTTAAATGTGGGTTCGTGAATCAGTGGGACCGTATAATTTGGGCATTTGAAATGAAATGGTACTCTTTTGTTGTTGCTCTTAAAACAAGCTTCAAACTATCAGTCTAACTAATTGAGATGGCGACGAGGAGAGGAGCAAAACGCAGTGTTATTGAAATTTCCTCTTCTTCCGAAGAAGAAGAAGAAGAAGAAGAAGAAGAAGGAGAAGGAGAAGAAGGAAATGAAGAAGAAGGAAGCTCAGAAGAATCAGAACCATTATCAGAATCGGATGACGATGATTTTGACTCCTCCGCCTCAAGGTATTCTTTTCCAATTAATGTATCAAGTGATCAATCTATCAATCAATTTACGCCTCAATTCCAAACTAATTAGGCTGGGCTATTTGAATTATTCGTTCATTCAAATACTACATCGTTTATTGTAAATTTTATGATAATCAATTTTTGGGCAATTTGGGCCAGCGAGAGCGATGGTGATTACGAAGAATATGATGATGAGGATGATATCGAAGAGGAAAGTAAGGAGTCGGGGTGCGACAGAGTCCTTCGCCTTCTCCAAGGTATATAGGGATTTTCATTTTTCTGCTCTTGCGCTTCTGGCAAATGTATGGATAAACTAAAGGAAAACTAAGTTGCAGTGTTACTGTAGTAAAATGTTAGGATTAATTAATTTTTATCAATTTTCTAGCAAATTGATCATCATTCTTCAGCCAATCCTAGTGTTCTATATTTGAGTTGAAATTAATGATTTAAACTCAGCTGCTTTCTGCACAAATGAGTTTGATCTTTAAATGTGCACGCTCCCACATTTAACTTTGTAACTAGTACGTGTGATGTTGTGGTGGCTAGTCTTAAATGTTGAATTGCCTATTTGATTTGCCGGAGACCTACATGGTCCATCAATCGAAGACCAATCTGAGCTATCAATTTTGTTAGATAAACCCATGGAAGTGCATGTTAGAGAATGGCATTGGTGACACACCATGGACTAGCCTTTGCAGTTGCATGAGTTATTAATAATCAGCAAGTAGAGGAGCAAAAGAAGGGGCTGAGACTTTGAGAGCTACTAAAAAGAGTTTGCTGCGGTTGGGAGCAACGACTATCTCGGCTGAACACTCAGTTGTAAAGTGGACCTCTTTTGTCCATGAGTTTGGCGCAAATGTGTTATCGTGTTATCTTCTTGTTAGGCAACCTGCATTACTGGAGTCAGGTGGGCAGGAAGAAGATTTTTATATGGAAGTACTGTTGATATATGTTTTGCATGAGATTTTGTGGACACGGAAGGGAAGGGTGCAAAAGTAATATGGACCCTATGCCTGCAATTGAGGAGGATAGAATTAGTAAAAGATGCAAAATAATTTACTCGTTATTCAATGGACAATTTGGTGTATTCACAATATTTTATAAACTGTAGATCCTAACATATATATATATATACCACAATGCACTTATTGATTCTTCAAAGGGGTTCATAACTTGTTCTCTTTTCATGGTGGAGGCAAATGTAGAAAATTTCTCCAACTAGTAACAATTTTTTTCGTGTTCTGACTCAAGACAATAAATTAGCTAGTTATGGTCTCTCTAACATATAAATATATCAATTTACAACCTTTTGTGTGTTATATAGGGGGTAGAGAATTGAAGAAGCTAAAGGGAGAATTGAGGAAGCTAACATTGACGGACTATAAAGCATATTTGCGGTCAAATGGGTTGAGGTTATCTGGTACAAAGGAAGAATGTGTAGAAAGGATCATAGAGCACTGGAGGTATGTCGGGGTGTAAGATGTAAACCTCATGTATTTGAATGGACCCCTAGAATTTTTGCAATTTCCAATAAAGCGTGCTCGTGGCATTCCATCAAGCATTTCTATTTCTTTTTTTTTCATTGTTCTTTTTTGTTTTTGTTTCCTGTTATGTTGTTTCTTTTGTGGTGTAAGAAAGGGCCTCGTTAATAGCTAGAGTCTCAAGCATTCAGGTTGCTTATTGTGAGCAGCTAAAAAGGGTATATGACTCTTAAGTAAAAGGGACAAATGTTAGCATATTACTGTGTGCATACAACATATAGTTAAGCAGATTAAAAACCCTGGATTGACTCATTGTTAGTGAGACCTAGACGTGCTCCATGATTTTGTTCCTACCTCATCATTCTAAATTTGCAAATTGACCGAAAATATTTCAATCTGTGTGCTACAATAATTTCAGAATCATTCTGAAGATTTAACCAACTAAATTATTTTCTCTCCTTGAGCAGTTTGACCTTTTCGGATCATTGCACTATAATTTTGTTAAAATATTGTGTCGTGGAGGATATACTGTGCTTATCTTCTACTTACGAAAAATGGAAGTTCCACACTCATCTTCATGGTCGCTATTTCATCTCTTTGTCCCCCTTTTGTCTCTGAACATTAATCTCACATGACGGATATGTGGGTATAAATGGCTTTTCTCTTTTGAATGTCTTGCACTTATTGTCCAGCTATGGCACTGAGTATGCCAATACATCAGGAATCTTTAGGTTCTTTCTGTTTTGACCTTAAGTAGAAGATAAGCACATAGAGTGTGGAAGTTCCACACTTATTGTCCAGCTATGGCACTGAGTATGCCAATACATCAGGAATCTTTAGGTTCTTTCTGTTTTGACCTTAAGTAGAAGATAAGCACATAGAGTGTGGAAGTTCCACATTTATCTTCTACTTACGAAAAATGGAAGTTCCACACTCATCTTCATGGTCGCTATTTCATCTCTTTGTCCCCCTTTTGTCTCTGAACATTAATCTCACATGACGGATATGTGGGTATAAATGGCTTTTCTCTTTTGAATGTCTTGCACTTATTGTCCAGCTATGGCACTGAGTATGCCAATACATCAGGAATCTTTAGGTTCTTTCTGTTTTGAGCTTATGTTCTTTTAGTTCCAGAGGCACTTGTTCCACAATGACTCTGATAATCAGAAATTTCATTCTTCTATTGACATCTCAATCAATGTGCTAAAAAGTTGCATATAGAAAGATATTGAATCAATTTGCAATAGCTCATTGTCCTGTGAGTTTGGTGCTTCCCACTCAACAAAAACAAGTAAAAGAAGGCAGCGTAAGTGATTGAAGCGCCACCACAGTTCATTAATTCTTCATGGTCTCAGTTTTCACTTAGTAAGGAACTAATTGTAAATAGTATGATGTTGTAAGTCCATATTTTAATCTGTTGTTCCTTTCCCAGTAGTTTCTTTTATTTTTTTTGCCTTTTTGCTAATGGAAAGTCCTATTACTTGATTTTTTCACAGGATCAAAGATGATAATGGTCAAAGACTATATCCCAAATCATCATTTACCGTTAACTGCACCGGTAGTTTATATTTGGCATCATGACACCTTCTCTGTTTTTCTTATGCTTCTTTATTTTCCCTTTTGTTTTTTTTCCATCTTTGAGTATTGAGACTGGTGATTCTGCAGGTGACGTATGTAAAGGAGATGTTGTATTATTCACACAGAAAGTGTACAAGAAGTATTCACCTAATTGATTCTCCTGTTTGTTTCACATTTTGTCAGTGTGAAGTGGTCTTTGATTCTTGGATTAACTGTGTCGTGTTTCTAAGTTTTGACAAGATGACAAGGGGTGGAGAACTATTAGGGAAGAGAACCATTGCTGGGAGGATTGTTAAGGAGAGTTATGGTGCTGCCAAACAGCAGCATACCTTTACGGTAAGGCTCAATAGAAAGTTTTGAGAGATGTCTGATTATAAGGGTTGAAATCTTGAACCATAGTTATGTGGATATAAGCTTGCAACTTGGCACAAAATCCAATCGTAGCACTTGAATACCTAGCTGTATCATCCTTCCATTAACCCTTTCGTGCAATTTCATGTGCAAAGTTTTGCTCAAAATTTCTCCATCCTCTACTTTTTTGTGATTAACAAGGTTGAGGTGTTATGGAGCCGAGGGGTTAAACAATTATCTGCACTTTTTCCATTGCTTGTAAAGGGACGAAACCTTTATAAGTTGAAGACTTTCAGACAGGTGAACCCGCAGCTACTGTGGAGTACCTGCAATTCCTTTCAGATATTCTAACATTTTAATGGTATTTCTTGCTTCTCTTTTATTAGAGATGGAAGAATGAAAAGAAAAGATTAGAAGTGCTTGCAGAGAAGCACAAACGTGGAGAAGCAGCAAGATTTATTAGAGCAACAAGAAAATCAAAATCGATAAAGTCGACAAAAGCATCCTCTAAAAATAAAGGTGCCCTTTTATGGAAATTAAATTGCTGTATCACCTTTATGTTTACTCTAATATAGTTTTTGGTACGTGTAGGTAACACGCATCAGAAACTTGATCATCATAGGAGGCCAAGCGAAATGATACAGACAAGCAAAGTAAAGAAAAACAATTGTTCTATTGATGAACGCAGGAAAACAACAGTAGGAAGCAAAAGAACAAAACACCGCCATGAAAAGCCTCGTCCACCTGGGAGATTGAATTTGGCAGAGTCCAGAAATAGTAGATTCCCTATGAGGCATCCAAACTTTGTGCCTGCCATTGGGGAGATCTCATTACAGTTCAATTATCCTTCAGCGAATAATTTCCGCCATTTTGAATCAGATTATTACGGCCGAGGAGTACTATATTCCTATTCATCTAACTGGCATTCAGCACCAAGATCACATTTAAGCTCTTATTCCTCTTATGCTCTGCCTGCTCCAGATCTTCAACAATATGATCGTGGAAGCTATCCTAATTTTTCATATCCTAGGTATGTATCTCAGTCTAGTAATCATTCGCGTTTTCCTGGCATGGTCGGAACTCACAGATCATCTGATTCATTCCCGTTTGTAAACTATGACCGTAGATAAAACTCTTAGCTTTTTGTCTCTCTTGCTCTGGCCCGTGCTGTGCACATAGGAGCAGCAAGGGGTTTACATGAACAAAATGGTGCAAGGGGTCTTAAACTGACTTTTGGAGGATTGCCTTGTTGTGAGTGTCAAATCTCAAATATTTGTACAGCAGGTTGCAGAAGTGTTTTGTCTTTAATTGGTAGTATTAAAGCTTTGTTCTCTTTTTGTTTTAGTAGTTCCATTTCTTTTGCATTCAAGTGGAATATGGGACTTGGATTTTGGAAGGGTGAGCTTGATCACGCCACAATTCCAGAGTTCTCTGTTGGATCCTGTCCTTTTATTACTCTTTTCTCTGTTCGTTGAGTTATTTACAAGCTTGTACGTCTAACTAGACGTGTCCCAAAAAGAAAAAAGAAAAAGATATTGTAATATAGCATAGCACATAGCACATAGCACATAGCACATATCACATGTATTAGTTAGTTTAGTTAGTCACATGCTTCTTTCTGTTAGATGACAACTGTTAATGAGCTATCAATTAGTTAGTTGGTTAACTTAAGATAGTGGTAGTTAGGTGTATAAAATGTACTGATAATCTTCTTCAATAGAACAGTTGTTCATTTCTCTCTTAGCCGACTCTCTCTTCTCAGAGCTTCTGCCATTGTTACACCTTCAAATTCTTGCATTTTATCATGATATCAGAGCTTCTTGCATTTTATCATGATATCAGAGCGGGAGATACTGGAATCTCACGCTGTGACGCTCTCAAACTGATTGTTGGTTTAAATCTCTTAATTTCGTTGATCAATTGCTGCTATTGACACGACAATGGCAGAAAACACAATTGACCACACATATCCCCTGTTTTTGGGTCCTTCAGACACTCCGAGCTCGGTATCGATTCCGGTAAAGCTCACTAGGTCAGAAAACTATGGGTTATAGAGTATGTCGATGAGGATTGCACTTTTGAGGAAGCGGAAGCTAGGGTTTGTGTCACGACTCGGATTTCCCACCCTCGGGAGTCGTGATGGCGCCTACTCGTAGAAGCTAGGCAAGCCACGATCTTAGAAATCATTAACTCTTTCTGTTTTAATTCCTTTTTAACCAAATTAACCGGAAATAAACAAATAAATTACAGCGGAGTATGAAATTTAGCGGAAGTCTTAAATAAAATATAAAGCCAAACATCCTGAAGACCAACACGTGCCTCTAACCAGAACCTGGTGTCACAACATCCACGGACTGTCTAAGATTACTACAAATAAGTGTTTGAAAGAAAAGAACATAGTCTGTCTCGAGTACAAATGACACCAGAACATAAAAACTAAAAGAAGAGACGCCGGGCCTGCGAATGCCAGCAGGGCTATCTCGGAGTCTCGGACTGAAGGATAGCTCCCAATCTACTGCTGATGACCAAATGCCACTCCGGAACCTGGATCTGCGCAAAAGAGCACAGAGTGTAGTATCAGCACAACCGACCTCATGTGCTGGTAAGTGCCTAGCCTAACCTCGGCGAAGTAGTGACGAGGCTAGACCAGACTACCACATAAACCTGTGCAAGTATATAATATACAGCGGAAACAAGCAGAAATAAACAAATAATGATAGAAGGGGGGAACATGTTGTGGGGTGGGGGGGGGGGGAATAACAGTTCCGAATAAAGCACCAAGTAAGGAAAGGAACAAAATAACTACAATGTCAATAAGAAGCAGAAATCAAACAAGTGCACGACATCACCCTTCGTGCTTTTACTCTCGTCCTCACCAAGCAATAATATAATAAAAACGTGCACGGCATCACCCTTCGTGCCTTTACTCTCTTTCCTCACCAAAGCAATTAGAATAATAAAATATGCACGGCATCACCCTTCATGCTTTTACTCTCTTTCCTCACATATAATCAATAGAATTGGCACGGAATGGTACATCGTGCGGCACGGCATCACCCTTCGTACTTTTACTCTCTTTCCTCACCAAAGCAAACAATGCACGGCATCACCCTTCGTGTTTTAACACTCATCCTCACCCAAACAACAATCACAAACAAGGGCAAGGGAAATAAACAAGAACATATAGGAATCCCGGTAAGGGAGCAACACTTAAATAATTAAATCCCGGCAAGGGAACAACAATTAAATAATTAAATCCCGGTAAGGGAACAACAATTAAATAATTAAATCCTGGCAAGGGAACATTTCGATAACTCTTTTCTCTATCTTTCAAATTTACTTCATAATTCGCTTTACCACTTTAGCCAATGCTCCAAAGGGTTCAATCGTCTCATATACTTTCACAATTCATATTATAACTCGAGCCAATGCTCTAAAATGTTCAAAGGACTCAATTCCTTAGACAAACTTTTCACAACAACTAGAAATCATCACCAAGGCATGAAGAATACAATGAAATCAAGATATTCACAATATAAAGACTCACGGTCATGCTAGACGCCGACGCATAGATACTCGTCACCATGCCAATACGTCGTACACGACTAATACCATATAGCAAATAGGACTCAACTTCTAATCCCTCAAGCTAAGGTTAGACCAAACACTTATCTCGATGCCTTGAACGCAACTCAAGTCTCAATTATAGCTTTACCCCTTGATTCCACCACCAATCCTCTCGAATCTAGTCACAAGTTACTTAATTACATCAATAAGTGCTAAATTAATCAACCCCAATGCATGAAAGTGAGTTTTCCAAAGTTTTACCCAAAAAGTCAAAAATCGCCCTCGGGCCCACGTGGTCAAAACCCGAGGTTCGAACCCAAACCCGATTACCCATTCCCCCACGAACTCAAATATGTAATTTATTTTGAAATCAGACCTCAAATCGAAGTCCAAATTCTCAATTTTTGAAAAACCTAGGTTCTACCCAAAACACCCATTTCCCCCCATGAAAATCTTTGATTTTAGGTTGAAATCATGTTAAAAGATGTTAATGATTGAAAGAAATGAGTAAAAACTAACTTACAATTGATTTGGAAGAAGATTGTTCTTGGAAAAATCGCCCAAAGGAGTTGTGTTTTGAAAATCGTGTAAAAATGACTTAAAAATCGGCTAAGTGTAGAAAATTGCAGGTCTCAGATATGGGAAATGCGAACAGGGGTTCGCAATTGCGAACCCCGACCTCTGTAGATGTGGGAATTGCGAAACAGGGTTCGCATTTGCGAATCCTTCAGAAATCCCAAAGTTTCGCATTTGCGAAACAATAGTCGCATTTGCGACTTCGCAATTGCGAAGAAGAGATCGCATTTGCGATCACAGAGGATTTAGGCGGGCATCGCATTTGCGATGCATGGCTTGCATTTGCGAGACTGGCTTCGCAAATGCGAAGTCTGCAGATCAGAACACACCAGCTATTTTTCAAAGTCCAAAAATGCACCCGTGGCCTATCCAAAACTCACCCGAGCCCTCGGGGCTCCAAACCAATTATACACACAACCTCAAAAATATCCTACGAACTTACTCGTGCATTCAAATCGCCAAAATAACATCATAAACATCGAATTAAACCTCAAAATCCAAGAATTCTTTCAAACTTCATAAAACATCATTTTTTTCTAATTTAGGTCCAAATCACGTCAAATGACGTCCGTTTTCAACCAAATTTCACAGGAAGGACTTAAAACATATATAAGACCTGTACCGGGCGCCGGAACCAAAATAAGGGCCCGATACCATCGCTTTCTAATCAGATTTCATTTCCAATTTCCTTAAGCAATTTTACGAAAAAATTCATTTCTCGGGCTTGGGACCTCGGAATTCGATTCCGGACATACGCCCACGTCCCATATTTTCCTACGGACCCTCCGGGACCGTCAAATCACGGGTCCGAGTCCGTTTACCCAAAACGTTAACCAAGGTCAAATTTATTCATTTTAACATCAAAACTTAGCATTTTTCACAGAATTTCATATTTAAGCTTTCCGTCTATGCGCCCGGACTGTGCACGCAAATCGAGGCGACTCTAAATGAGGTTTTTAAGGCCTCGGAGACACAGAATTCAAATAAAAATAAGTGATCACCCTTTGGGTCGTCACAGTTTGTGACCGGCACATGCAAAAAGGAATCCTACAAGACAGTTGATTTACAGGAGCATTAGGAGCAATGGGGTACCTGTAATGCTATTGTTTTGTCATGGATCATGAAAAATATGTGTGAGGAGCTCCTTGGTGGCATTGTGTTTGCATAAGATGCTCATCTTGTTTGGGAGGATCTACGGGAGAGACTCGATAAAGTCAATCGAGTAAGAATTTTTTGATTACATCGTGAAATTGTAACTCTCTCACAAGGAACTAGTTCAATTTCAGTCTATTTCACAAAATTAAAGGAACTTTGGCATGAATATGATGGGTTATTCGCTTTTTCTAATTGCGAATGCCCTAAGTCTAAGGACAATATGGAACAACTACATCAACAACGAGTTATGCAATTTCTCAGCGGATTGAATGAGTCATATGATCAGGCTAGAAGGCAAATTCTCATGAAGACAACTGCACCTAAGCTGAATCAGGCCTATGCAATGATTGTACAGGATGAAAGTCAGCAGAATGTGGGTGCTAATGTTGTGATTGATAGAGGTGATCCTACTTTGGCTATGCGAGCAATAGGCATAGGACAAGGATTTCGAGGCAAAAAGCAATTTTTGCAATGTGAACACGGCCGGATGAAAGGGCACACCAAAGAAAATTGTTACAAAATTATTGGCTATCCATCAGATTTTGTTCCAAAGAAGAAGCAAGGTACAGGGAACCCTGACAACTGGAGAAATACTAATAATGGGAATCAAAATGGTGGTGAAAGGCCAGATAATTGGAGGAGAGAACTCCTTGCAGCTGTGAATCAAGCAGATGTTGGATCATGTTCTCAATGAGATAGACATGGACAGACAACAGCTGAAACAAGGGATACTACTTCACCGATGCTCAGTACAACCAAATTCTGAATTTTCTAAACAAAGATTTTAGTGATCATCAGGCTAACATGGCAGGTAATGTCACTTGTTTAATGTCTAATTCCAACCAAAGGGAAGATGAGTGGATTGTTGACTCTGGAACAACTCTTCACATTGCCTCTAAATTAGAACTGTTAGCTAACACTATAACTACAGACAAATCTAACAATGATAGAGTACATCTACCTACAGGGGGAAAAGCTGATATCACACATACTGGTTGTGCATGTTTGTTGGATAAAGAAACAGTAAAAAATGTCCTTTATGTACCTGATTTTAGGTTCAACCTATTGTCAGTCTCAAAGCTCACAAGAGCATTGTCTTGCAATGTCAACTTCTTTCCTGATTTCTGTGTATTTCAGGACCTCTGCAATGGCAGGGTGAAGGGGATTGGTGGAGAGAGAGGTGGATTATATTTGCTTAGAAATGGAAGATTAAGTAACCAGCTGAAGGCCATTTGTGCAATGAGCAGATTGTGTGGAGGAACCAGCAGCCTATGGCACATGAGACTGGGACATCCTTCACTATCAACTATGAAGAATATAAAGGAGTTACATAGCTATGTTAGTAGTATAACAGAGAATAATTGCTTTGTTTGCCCCTTAGCAAAACAGACTAGGTTGAAATTCCCACTTAGTGACTCTAGAGCTGATGGATTGTTTCATCTTGT